CAACTCTTCACGCTCCTCCTCGGTCGCGGACAACATTATGTCATCCACGTAGATCACGATGAGACCGACGACTTCTCCGTCAACCACCTTGCGGAAAATGCAGGAGTCCACCCTGCACTGCTCGTAGCCGTTTGAGATCAGGGCATCGGCAGCCTCAAACCCCCACTCGCGCCCACTCTGCTTAAGTCCATACAGAGCACGCTCGACTTTCACCGCCTTGCCAGTCCAAACACCACAACCGTCTGGAAGCCTCAGGTAGATTTCTTCCTTCAGCTTGGCGTGTGTGTACGCCTGCTTGATGTCCCAGTGGACAGGCCTCCTACCATTCTCGGTGGATACGGCCACCATAGTTTTGATGGACACCGCGGAAGGGCATGCGGATGATGAGTGGTGAAAATCCACACCGGGAATCTGAGAAAAACCACGCGCAACCATACGTGCTTTGAAGTCGACAATCAGCCCCTTCTCATTGGTCTTGTGCGAGAAAATCCACTTCGCACTGATGGCCTTACGCCCTTCGGGCAGACCGCTAATCTCGGAGAACGTCCCCGTCTTCTTGTGGCCGTCGAGCTCCTTTGTCATGTCTGCTTCCCACAGCACCTTGTACTTGGAGTTAAGGACATGCTTGGACGTCAAGGGCACGCACTCTACATCACTTGGCTTTTGGCCGAAGCGCGAGGGGATACTTAGCTGCGGGTCATGAAGAGGTTGCGATGACCCGTCGTCCCCTGCCTCTGCACCGAACGCCTCCTCCTGCAGCTCGGTGCCGTACGGCAGCTCATGCATCTCACGCCGGTACTCGATGTTGACCTGCTCCTCGTCGTACCGCTCCCGCACCAGCGAGTTGGAAACGTAGTCCACGATGATCTCCGCCAGCAGCGCTTGCTCGGCGTCTGGCTCGGCGTCTGGACCCGGCAGCTCCTCGGGGCCTTGCAGCTCCCGGGTCTCCCTTCGTGTGCGGCCGCGCTCGAGCCCGTGGCGCAGCGGTCCTTCCTTCGAGGCGCCCCAGAGGAGCCGACGCCCTTCGCGGCCCGGCGGGTAGCGGCTGTCGGCGGGATCAAACTTGTACTCCTCGAGTTGCTCGGAGTCTTCGCCGGGTTCGCTGCCGCCGCCACCGCCATCTCCAGAGGCGCCGGGCTCACTGCCGCTGGCGCCGCCGCCGTCGTCGTCGCCGGCGGCGTTGCTGCTGCTGCTGCCGCTCTTGCTGCTGGTGCTGGTGCTGCTGCTGCTGCTGTCGCTGCTGCTGCTGCTGCTGCGGTCGCTGCTACTGCTGCTGCCGCTGCTGCTTCCATCGAAGTCGC